TTCTATATATTTTTAGTTGTCCAATTAATTTCTTTCTATTTTTAGTAGAGACGGGGTCTTGCTCTTGCTCAGGCTGGTTTCGAACTCCTAAGCTCAAACAATCCGCCCGCCTCGGCCTCCCAGAGAGCTAGGATTACAGGCGTGAGCCACCGCGCTCAGCCCACAGGCTGATCTTGAGCTCCTGGCCTTAAGCTGTCCTCCCACCTTGGCCTCCCGAAGTGCTGGGATTACAGGCATGAGCCGCTGCACCCAGCCGCTCCGAATTGTATTTGTCTATCTCAGAATGTCCTAGGGGAAGAAACTTTCACTGAACTTTCCCACTTACAGTTAGTTGGTTGACTTATAATTTTTCGGCTTTTTGATGGTGTAAGAGCAGTACACATTCAGTCAGTAGAAACTATACTTTTTGGATTTCGATCTGTTTCCAGGCTAGCTGGGCGGCAGAGGTGAGCCGCGGCTCCCAGGCAGCCACTTGATCACAAAGTGAACAACCCATACTCCGCCGTGCACTGTGTTGCCAGAAGGCTTTGCCCAAATGTAGGCTAATATTCACATAAGTGTTCTGAGTATGGTTAGGATGCTAGGCTAGGCTGTGATGTTCAGTAGCTTAGTTGTATTAAATGCATTTCCGACTTAAATATTTTCAACTTCTGATGGGTTTATTGAGATGTGGCCCCATCATAAGTCAAGGAGTGGCTGGGCATGGTGGCTCACACCTGTAATCTTGGCACTCTGGGAGGCAGGAGGATCGCTCCAGCTCAGTAGTTCGAGACCAGCCTGAGCAAGAGCAAGACCCTCGTCTCTACTAAAAAAACAGATAGCTGGACAACTAAAAATATATAGGAAAAAATTAGCTGGGTATGGTGCCACATGCCTATAGTCCCAGCTACTCTGGAGGCTGAGGCAGGAGGATTGCTCGAGCCCAGGAGTTTGAGGTTGCTATGAGCTAGGCTGATGCCACGGCACTCTAGCCCAGGCAAGAGAGTGAGACTCTTGTCTCAAAAAAAAAAAAAAAAAAAGTCAAGGAGCATTTGTATTACAGATAACAGTATTACTGATATTAATTTTCCTGATATTATTGAGCAGGGAGTATAAATGACTTTTTCTTAAACTGAACACATCAGTATTGGGGTCAAGGTCACAGACACTGACTGATGCTCCTTAGTTCCCTGTTTGCACCCGGCATTGCCAACTAGGCCAGAGTAGTAGCTTCTGCCCACTGGCATTTGGGTGCCCAAGGACATGGGTTTCCTGTTACCTAATGGTTATGCCCATGAAAGCTCATTGAGATAACTCAGATACTAGGCCCAGAGTATCAGGGCTTCCCAGCTGGCCAGGGACCCTTGTCCTGGTGAAAACGTCTGTATTGGTTAGCTATTGCCGGATAACAAGTCATCCCAAAACTGAGTAACTTAACAGTTTATTATTCCTGTCCATTCTTTGTTGGGCATTCCTTGCTGATCTTGCCTGAGCTGGTCATACGGCCGCGTACAGTCAGCAGCTGGGCTGCCCTGGACTAGAAGGTCCAAGGTGGTCTTAGCTACATGTGTGGGGCACTGCTGGGACCAGCTGGAAGCCTGGGAGCTCTCTCTGTCCTCTTGGTCTCACAGCATTCAGATCATTCAGTAGTGTACCCTGAGCTTATTTATTTACTTGGAGTTTCCAAGGCCACGTAAGGCCTAGGCTCAGAAGTCCCATAATATTGTTATGAAGCATTCTATTGGGTTGAAGCAAGCCACAGGGCCAGCCCAGGTTCAAGGAGAGAGGGAATAACTAACTGCCCCAGAAGGAGAGATGCTGCCTGTGCAAACAGGGATGGGAGGAGATATGGGGACCACGTTTTCAATCTTCCACCAAGGCCAAGCCTCAAGT